AAATTGTAGATCTCGTCGTCCTCTACAAGAAAGGTCCTATACAATTTTCCCGTAAATTCAACGGTTTAGGAGTAATTAAGGAAAAATGAAATTTTTTGCCAAAAGTTTGCCGTTTCGACGCTGGGATGGTCGGATTTTGTCAACATCAATAAAATGCCAAATAATCATACGTAACTCATTAAATATCGAAATTAGAAGGTAAACAACTTTTATTTGGAGCATTTTCCGAAATTTTGAAAAAAAAAATTTTTATCAGCGTCAATACTTAATTGGATATTTCCTTCTATACTTTTTAGCACGTAGCTATTTATTATTAGCATTATTCTTCCGATGTCTGATTTCTTTTTAATTATAGGAAATGCGTATTTCTAAGGTACATAAACTTTTCGGATTGACTGTATAGCCAATACATCCTTAAAGTTTCAAGTCTCTAGCTTATCGGGAATAGTTTAAAATCAATTGCAAAATTTGTACCGAACAGGCAGACAAGAAAGCGAGCTAATAAAAACGTAGTAAAAATGTTGGCGCACGTAACATTTTCTGGTCAAGAATCCTAGTGAAAACGAACCCAGTCTAGAGAAACTCGATTTCCATAAACGAATCTATCGTCCTAATTAACAATCAGCGAATTTAAACAGCATTGATGATAAACTCTCGGTCGCGATGCATATGACTTCCATGAGCGAATCTACCGTTATAATTAATAATTGATTTCGCACTCGAGTTCGAACATCGAATAAGGATTCGGATAGAGAACTGAGCAGAGAAATGATTGCTACTCGAAGAGAAAACATAGGCGATTTCGATGATCGATGCAGAGAGGAAGGCGAAAGAAAATGCGCCACGCTATGCATATTGACACGAACTTTCTCTAAAGTAGTTTCTTTTTCAAGGTCGACGACTCGACTGAGAAAAGGAAGCTAAATCGCTCGCCTCACTAATCTCGTAACACTATTCACAATTTAACTCGCTCCACGCTTCCAGCATTTTACCTTCCAAGCAAATGATGGTGTGGTTTTAGGAACTCGTATTTTACAGCAAGGATTTTACATAAAAGTACGATGTTGAAGAATGAAAAGGAAATCTGATTGGTTGAAACCGATGTCAGAAGAGTTTTGCACAAAGATTTGGTTATGGAAAAAGTACCGATATGAAAAGTAATGGTGGTGAATTAATTTGCGAGCAAACAGTATTCGTGGTCGGATTTCGAAGGCTTGTCTCGCCGATTCGATCGCGGGCACACCCACGGAACTATTCCAGTTACGACACCTCTCGCCTACCGCTGATATAACCATTTTCCACGATACCGCTGCGGTCCGGAATACAATTCTCCGGTTCTACGCGATAAGTATAATATTACCCTCGATAACCCTTGGACAACGTTATCGTTAAACGAAGCTTAGAACCAGTTTATGCGGTCGTAACGCGGTTCGCGACGATCCTTAAATACGTTCGAAATTAACAATTAAATAAAATTTCTGCGATATCGGTTTAAAACATGCCAAACGACATCTCAAAGGAATATTGTATAAATTGAATGATAGACATTCTTAAACGCGTTAGACCGATTCTACAAGTTGTATCAACTGGCTGAAGCAGCACGCCTCACATTAAGCCGAACACGGTGCGGTGGAAATTTGAATGATTACCTAATTGGACGAGAAAGTGTACGGTTTACGCCTGAATTTTTCGCGATGGGTAAAGAAAACGTTACAAAACGCGGTGGAACAATGCTGGAAAGCGTGTTCGGAAGCCTCACGAGACAGTTTCCCACGGCGGCCGAGTCAATTCGGTCTGGAGCGCAAAAACTCTGATCGTCTTCCATTTTCGGTGCTTCGATGCTTCCCTTTCACCTTTTTCTTTCGCTCTAGAGTTGTCAAGAGTATTTTATTCGTGATCCTCTCGTTCCTTCAATTATTACAAGTAACGATTCGAGTACGTATCATCAGTCATTCATGTTTCCTTCCAACTGATTTTATGAAAGGATCGGCCGAGCCTTGGGACAAGTCGCCGGCGAATTCGGTGTACGAACAGCAGGAGAAGAATGCTGCAGCCGTCGACAGTCCCTCGGAAACGCATTCCCCAGACGAGAACAATGTGATGGAAAGTTTAAAAAGGGACAGTAAAGATGACGAAGAGGAAGCGGAAGAAGAGGGAGTTTACGAAGACGAATACGAGGTCGAAGAGGAGCACGAGGTATCGGATGACAAGTTCTCTAAGCAGCGTGAAAAATCGTCGTCCGCTTCGACAGAGGATGCGTCCAGGGAAGAGGACTACGTGGAGGATCCCTCAACGAGCCAATACGACGCCTACTATTACTATGACGATTATGATAATCATAATCGCTCGCGATACGAGGCCGTAGGTGAGTAAAAGTATCGACACACGTTATCGTTTGTGACAGCAGTTTAGGAAGTGCGATTTAAATAGAAATTTCGTTTGTTACTTCACCATCGTCTCGTCACAGTTTCTGATATAATCGATTTAATTTTATTAAATATATATTATGCACCAATTCGTTAGACGATTCAATTCATTAAATATAAATGAGTATATCCTCGTGTTTTGGCAATTGAAATGAGTGCATGGTCAGATCACTGAATGAAAACATATTACATGCGTTACTAAATGAAAGAAAGTCGTAACGACAACCATTTACGAGATTATCAATAAAACGACTAGTGAAAAACTGAGTCGATCAGCTTCCTTATTGCCAGGAGCATTAGAAATTGGAGTGGCATGCAAAATCGATTGGTTCCACTTCCTATCGCAAAGGTGCGGGCAGAGCCGTGGTTCTTTTTTGTGGTGAGGTAACGAACGACAGTATCAAATAATTATGATCGTAAACGTGTTCGCGTTGCGCAACGCGTTTCGTCACCCGGTCGGTGGAAAGCGAGAGAGTACGGACGTGGACGCGTTCCTTCCGCGTTAATTATCAGCGAAGAAACGAGATTCTTGAAACGCTTACAGCAAACGCCGACGCCCTCGACTATCCCGACGGAGAGGAAGAAGAGAAAGAGACCAGAGAAAAGGAGGAAGAGGAAGAAGCTCGTTCGAGGGACGAACACAACGTTCCGGATGAAAAGGACGAAGGGAACGCGGAGTCTCGCCTCGTGGCGAACTCGAACGATTCGTCTTCGGATCTGTTCGACGAGAAGGATCTGGACACACCGATTTCGACGACGAACAACGAGGAGGGTTCTTCCATGGAGGGCAGCGATAAAACGTTCGCTTTCCTCGGCCCGGAGACAAACTCCTCGATCTTAATAGGAGAAGCCGTGGTCTCCGTGGTGACGACGAAGAGCGTCGTGAATGGAACGATTTCCGTGCCCACGACGTCCTCCCCGACGAGCACGGAACAGGTCGCCGCGCCACCGTCCTCGAGCACCACGGAGCAACCCCTCGTAACGACGGAGGACACGTCCAGATTGCTGGCTTCGGTTCAAACCAGCCGCAGCATATCCGGCGCCAGATTCCTACCGTTCCCTGTAATCGATCGCGTCGAGCCGATCGACAAGAAGACTTCACTGCCTCCCGAGTCCACGGAGAGCATCATCGACAAATTGGACAGGGTGCAGTCCGAGTTGTCGAGCGGTTTCCTCACTGGAGGATTCCAAACTTCCGGGAACACTCTTCAGCTGGACGTTCTTAACGAAAGAGACAGGAACAGCAGAAGGAAGTATACGACCACCGCTAAAACACCAGTGATCGGGAAGTTTGTACCGCGACGGTACAACGACAAAAGGACCGATAGCGCAACGCCGAAACCTAAGTTCGAGACCACGCTGGATAGTCTCGAAGGGCTCCTGCCTCGAGATTTCTTAGCGAGGAGCTCGACACAGTCAGTTCCCAAAACTGGATTCAGGTTTGTATTTAAACGACCATTGTCGAATAATCGTTTGTTCAACGATTTTACGTAAGAGTTGTGAACGACTTGTTTCAGATGGCCGACGAAGAGCACGACTTCCACGACGACCGAGGCGACTACGATTCAAATCACGTCGACCACCACGACGAAGAAACCGAAAACGAACGTGATCGCTCAAGATATTAGCGCTCTCTTGCCACCCGGATATAAATTAAAGAAAGAGGATACCGTTACAGAGAGCTCTCTGTTAAGCGACATTCTGGCCAAATCCAAAGTCGACATATCGTCGTTGTTACCGCCGGATTATAATAAAAACAAAGAAAAGAACTCCAGCCAGCAGACTACGAGTACTACCACGACGACGACAAAAAGTATAGAGGAGAAATCACCGGCTGAGAAATCGATTCAGGATTTATTCGCGAAATCCAAGTTCGATATCTCTTCCTTACTGCCGCAAGATTACGAACAGAAGAGCAAGAATCTCACTTCGAACTCGACCGAGTCTGACGATCCGACCACGAAACTGATGGATTCCACGGAGAGCGCGTCGTCCACGACGAGCAAACCTGGGTTGAAGATCGTGTTCCCGAGCAGACCCGGAGGACGGAAACCTATTCAGAAGATCAGCACACCGCCCACTCCCCGTGGCGAAGGTCCCGGGGCTGTCACCCTGAAAATACAAAAGGGATGGCCGACGAGGTAAACGAAATCCTAGAAATCGTAAATTGATCGTGAAACATAAAATGCGTTAATCGATATTTAATCCAGAGCTACCACGGAATTCACCGGATGGCCAACTCCGTCGACCACGCCGATCTCTATAGAGAAGCTGCTGGAAGCTGCCCGAACAGCAACTATTTCGTCGGCCTCGTTGATCCCGATCACTGAAACGACGTCGAGCACTTCGACCACGTCGACGACGACGACAACGCCCAGGCCGACTACTCCTGGGATCTGCGAGCGCGAATGCGAGGTAGCTGGGACGATAAAGATAATCGGGAACGCGAGTTGGGTACCGGAGCTGCTCGATCGAAACACGCAAGAATGGCAGAAGCTCGCACGTGAAATTGAACAAGAGGTAATGTACAAATGACTGCGCTGAACATGAACGAGAGTATCGATAGATAAAAAGAATTTTGTTGCACATAGATGAACTTCATTTTCGCTAAATCCGCGGTTCTGGCAAAGTGGTACAAGAAGATAAGGATCGATTCGTTCAGGTAGTAACACGATTTGTATAAAGTTGTTCGATTTCAAATACGTTCTATTTGGTTGATCAATTTGCTGGTTTCAGCGAGGGTAGCATTTTGGTAGATTACTTCATCGAGCTAGCCGAGCTGGAGCAGAAAGTGAACACGCAAGAGTTGAAAGTAATCTTCCACGATTCGTTGCGGACGTTCAACGCGAACAGATGGAACGAGACGAGAACGAAGAGTACGATAAGACTCGGGTCGTTCACGATCGACCCGAAATACACGGACTTCATAGGTACGTCGCATTATTATAAAACGATTATCCTCGAGTCAACTTGAATTTATTTACAGTGATACCCAAAGCTGTGACACCGCATTTCATTGAGAAAGAAGACAGACTGATCCCGCAATGGGCAATCGCCGTGATCGTGATCGGCGTCGGCGGATTAGTCTTCATCATCATATTCGGTGTTTCAGTTGTAAGTATCGGAGGATCTGATGTCAAGAAAAGTATCTACGTTTACCTGATTTTCAGTTAATCAATCGGCACAACAGATCGAAATTGAAACCGTCCATATCCACGATTTACGAAGAAGAAATAGCGAAAAACACTCACAGACCCAGCGATTATTCGAAGCCGGTGCACACGATTTGGACCGATCCGGACGTATCGTGGAACGACAAGTCTTTCGAATCGACTTCGAATAAAATATTCGTCGAGAAACCGTTTCAGGACAACAAGAAGTACAATATGTACGACAGTTGGAGATCGGAATGGAACGGTTACTACTGTAACGAGTCCCACGCGAGTAGCAAATACGGTGGCTACGACAGTACGACGAACTTGTCCTGCCGTCCCGATCACGACACGAATTTTTTTTGTCCCAATTACGACACGAATTTCTAAAGCCGACGATAATAAAATAAAATTCTTTCTTAATTCTGCCCTTCGATCTATTCAGTGCCTTTGACGGTCGTTACTATATCTGATCGTTACACCGTTCCAATTTAAGACTAATTGTAAGTTGATCTTACGCGCATCGAGCATCTTATACTTGATTCCTGAATCTGTAATCGTATTCTTATTATTCTATCGATTCCAGCATGAAATTCTATTTATTCTAGTCAGGGAAATAAATCGGTGTAATACTTAGAAAAGATATTTTTGTAATTAAGAGAAAAACGAGAAACGTTACGATTATGCTTTCTTCTCTCGCAGCCTAATTGTCGGTTCACGTAAAATAAAAATGTTCACTGTTCAGCTACCCACAACAATTCCCGACTTATCGGCATAAATATGCATGTACGATCATGCAATGCATAATAAGTAGGTCCGGGAATCGTGTGGGTAGCCGTTCATGTAACACGAACTTGTAACAAGAGTATAAATATGTATATGCATACAGAATTTTATTCGTTCATCGTAACACATAGAAATATAGAAATACTTATGTACAAAATTAAAATAACTTGCTTGGCAACGAGAACAGCTCCATGACTGATGAAACGGTGGTCTTCTCGTGCGTCTGCACGTGACGCTTCAGCATGTTCAGCAGTTTTTGATACAAAAAGGAATGCCTATAAAATAAAAGTAATCCTTAAATACCTCTTTACCTTAACAGATACAAGAATCTTAAAAAGAGATCCTCACCTGGTAGCCGGTTTGCATATAGTAAGGTGATCTTGTGCAATCTCGTAGAATTCGCCTACTCCAGGATCTAAACGGAAATATCAGAATTTCGTTTTATTAAAAGATCGACGAGTATAAAACGAGGTTTCGTACCTGCCGAGTTCGAGGTGACGAATTGAAACGGGACTTTCAACGGCGTTACGTGTGTAGATTTCGTTTCGCTGAAGCTGACTATATCTATGGGATACTCTTTCAACATGGTTAGGAACTCGTTATGCAGTTCCAATAACTGTGGCGACCCTAAAAATAAATAATGTTGATCATGGAACGAAACTAATTAATTCGTGTAATTTTTATATACCTTCCCGAAGTTCTTGAACTTCGATCGATGGCCATACTACCATTTGCGTTGCTTGCTTCAACGCTGCCACGTGAGATCCTTTGTGCGGAGTGCTGTAGAATACGATACCACGCGTATTTTTGCATATATCGTTTTTGTCACCGTTCTTCCATTCTGTAATGAACAAATTCTCATGACGACCTGCTACGTTTTTGATAATAATAATAACTCACCGTTAACAAGCATCTTCTTCACCAGTAAACCACCCATCGAGTGGCACACCCAAATCGTTGGTCGTTGCCCGACGCCGGCAGTCAGTAACTTCTTTACGTATTCTTTGCTCCTCTCATACATGGTGACTCTGACACGAGATACAAATAAGACGAACGTTTTCACGAAGATGGACCGTATTTAAATACTCACCTCGCGCCTTCTATTGGACACGACGGTGTCCACATCGATAGATTCGTATCGTAATTAACTCCGATAACTCGAAGCGACGGAATATCTTCCGGTAACCAATCCCTCGGCCAGCACAGAGTCTTGTACCTCTTGTCGTAGTAAATCTTCTGCATGCACGCGTCGTCGCTAGAATTCGAATCTCCTGAACGTGCACAACAAATGTTTCGAATAAATTATATATTAAAATTGTACCCGCTGCAAAAGAATGGGCCACGCGCTCTCGAGTTAGTGTTCTGCGGGCAATCGTCCAGGATCACTTCAAAGTCCTGTCCTACCCTGTCCCACTCGCGCTTTCTCAAATCGCAAGTCAAGTCTTTCAAAAAATCTTGAGACTGATCGTCTATCAGACTCGAGAAATTGATTCCGTCTTGTACAACCAAGGGATCTATAATAAACGTTAGCAATGTCAGCCACTCCGTATTAGTTGTTAGTAGAACATGAAAGTAATTAACAACCTCATGCTTGTCAGACGGGATTATACATATACTAACAAACCTACGATCCCGACATCAGGCTCATCTTGATCTCGTTGCCTCCACGTTATAAAGACACCGCCGAGTAAACCATGGAGGAAAACAACGTCCAATTTGATTTTCCCCCTAGTCTTATGCAAGGGATGTAGAAGATAGATACGTCTTGGATATTTAACATTTTCGTTTTCGTCGATATCTAAATTTGCCAGTGCACGACTGGCCGGTGCCGATAATCTTATATCCTTGCTTTGAGACCACTCCACCAACGTACCAATCCATCCTTCGAATCAAAATTTATATTCGTTCATGATACATTTAACATTTTAAATGTAGAAAATCTACCTGACTGGAAAATGTCGTCCAAGTGCTCGGAATGAAGCGAAATATTCGAGATGGTCTTTGCGAGTAATATACACACGTTAATGTTGTCGTTAAACATTCTTTTAATCAGCATCAGCAAAGGTAAACCCCCAGCAATGACGATATCTGAAAATAAAAATACGGAATTAAGTAGGAGCATTTAAAGTCATTAGTCGAAAAGACTTACCTTTGCTGTACTGTTCTGAGCAAGAGTGATGGCATAACGCTTGAATGCAATTCAGTAACAAGTCTGGGTCCCATACTGTGGCTGGTGCTACAGCCAGCCCTAAGTTTGTTAAATCGTGATCAAGTATCAGACTATCCTGTTTGTTTCATACCTTGTTCATAATTGAAATGCGCACGGAATATAATATGCCCGATCATGGAAATATACGGCGGTATATACTTACCGAGGGTGTATCTTTAAATTTCTTGTTAAGAAACTGTGTAAGACACGGATGAGTATTTTCACAAGAGGCGTTTAAATACAGAAGCAATTGATGTACTTTTTCTATCACGTCCTGAAGAAGGTACTTCGTTAAACAGTTTAAAGAATTATTAATTTAATGTAATAAGCCATTATACACACGTGCAATTTGTGATGGATATAATAATACGGTGGCTTCAAGAAGAATCTTGTATCAACTCTTGGCATCCTCGCAAGAATCACTGCAGTTTTCGCGTCCAACATTTGTGCGATGTGCCGATAATGCCAATCTATAATTTTTTAATGCCACAAGTCTTAATGTGGAGAGTGAAAAAAAGTAGAGACTACCTTTTAAATGTTTCAAAGAATTCAGAGTGTAGAGAGCCCTCAATTTTTCTGTCCTATCTCCAATTTGTGCCATGGTCAGTAATTTGTAAGCTATACTGCGATTCAATGATTTCCACCATTTCAGTATAGTATTGTTAAACGAAAAGGACTCGACTGGCACAGACGATTGCAGGCTTCCAATATTTTTGTATAGAAGTATATCTAAAAATATGTCAAAGTTAATTTTATCAGTTGTGAACCAGCAGAGGTTCGTTGCTAATACCTTTGAATCTAGGATCGTCGACATAAATGTATTGAGTTTGTGTTTGCTCAATATTAAGAATATTAGTAGGCACAGAGTACTGTAAAATTTTGGAGACCTCCCTCAATTGATATAAAAACCAACAGCCACTGAATGAAAAATATGAATCATTGATATCGTTCAATGAATATTCGAGACGATGCTAGTGAATACAACTAACCCAACCATCACAATGCAAATCCCGGTTGACTTTATGTACTCTATACACTTTCTATAAATTCGCACTCCCATTTTCAGGGGTGTCGGAGTACTAGTTTGGATCAAGAATCACGATATTACACTTTCGAAGAGCGTTTAAGAGCACGTACTGTCAAAAACGAAATTCGGTGGCTAGCAAGAACAGGGAGAGTATGTTTGAGTATGTTTATACCGGAGCATTCGTGAATCATCGATAATCATGAAATTTTTAAGTATTCCGTTTCTTTTCCATGGCATCAATGTCAAGCGACTCGAAGAAGAAATTGTTAATCGACATCATAATTATTCACGAGAATAATTCGATGAATGTGACGTGTCAGTGATTAATGAAGTCGTCGATTACTGAATGAAAGAATGAATAAAGTCGGAAAACGATAGGATATGGGCACAGGTGGATATGGTTGTAGGAATGATAGGATAAAGCGTGCGACTCCTAAAACTCTGTTATATTACTGCGTAAAATGCCAATATATATCTGAAATTCTAGCGAAAGCGATTTTAAGGACTCACGACTGAAATTAAAACTAAATATCCACGGCGAGGAACATTCTGAGCAATTCTGAGCGATGTAACTTATTCTATTAATCCGATTGATTCTATTCGAATCATACGTTCTTATAATTTTAATTGGAGAAAATACTTTGAAATTAATAAGACAGTAATATGTATAGCTGGTAATGAGGCATCGGAAGATTATAGGGCACCGTTTTAATCGAACTTTCATCTGTTCATTAGACGAATGAACGAAGCATTAGAACGATTGGGAACGCGGCTGTACTTTCGGAATACGACAAGCGGCCTCGAGGCGCTGTTCGCGCACGAACCCTTCAGTCTTTTTGCTTCCCATTTTGTGCCGTACAGTACGTCCACACCGAAGCACTGACGTTTCGCTGTGCCATCGCATGGCCGACGTGTGCATACCGAGGTTCACTTTCGCGTGGTACCCGTTCCGTCACAAGTATCGCCGTTAATACGTCGAAACGTAACGCTTGTGGCAAACGTCGACCACGGTGATACCGATGTGAGTGAGAAAAAGTGCGGACACGAACGATAGGCACCCGTTTCGCTAGAAAACAGAACAGTAAATTCTTTGTCGAACACGTTCCTTCTGACATAATCCGGTATAAACTGGATTCGGGCAGATACGTCGATAAACGGATTGATCGCGCGTTTTCAGAAAGAAATTTCGTCGATCCGGCTTTCGCGTCGACGTGGACCACCTCTCGAGGCTCACTCCCGTCGGTGATTAAAACGATATATACATAATTCGTTAGGGAACACCGTGTGAGAGCCGCGACCACGCGACACAACGCGCAGCAATGTCCAACGAGGAGACTTCCGCCGACCGCAATGTCGAGATCTGGAAGATCAAGAAACTCATAAAAAGTCTCGAGATGGCTAGGGGGTGAGTCGATTGGAAATAACGTTACCGCGCCTTTTCTTATCAGCTGTTCGATTTTCCATCTTACGCACATATGCTTTAAAAAGCATGTGCCTCGTGACGAGTAACGGATTTTCGTTCTCGTCACGAACACCGATTCTTACTCGATCATCGCTTGTTTCCCCCGTTCCAAACCCGAGTTTCGAATGATTCATCGTATTCATTCCACGTTCTATCATCGAATTTTCCACCGCGTGCAGGCGATGTATATTTTATTCCACGCTGGTACAACCTTGCGCGAACAGATTGTTTTACCGTCCACCGTTGTTTACGATGTATAATTTTCACGGCTCGCACGCTCTGTTTTATAGGAACGGAACTAGCATGATCTCCTTGATCATCCCTCCCAAGGATCAGATATCGAGAGTGAGCAAAATGTTGGCAGACGAGTTTGGTACGGCGTCCAACATCAAATCACGTGTAAATAGATTATCAGTTTTGGGTGCAATCACATCTGTACAACATAGGTTAAAGTTATATACTAAAGGTGATTATAATATATCATTGATGATCGTACTTGTATATTGCTTCTCGTTCACGTGGATCGTTGTTTTAGTGCCTCCGAATGGCCTGGTAATATATTGTGGTACAATTGTAACAGAGGAGGGAAAGGAGAAGAAAGTTAATATCGATTTTGAACCTTTTAAACCTATCAACACTTCTCTTTATCTTTGTGATAACAAGGTATTCATCGTTGATTTTTTAATAGACTAGACGCCTCGAACGAGATGTACTTTAAACCGATTGTTCTTTGGCTTCAGTTTCATACGGAAGCGCTTACAGCGTTACTTGCCGATGACAACAAGTTTGGTTTTATCGTGATGGACGGTAATGGGGCACTATTCGGCACACTGCAAGGAAATACTCGCGAAGTTTTACACAAGTTTACCGTGGACCTTCCAAAGAAGCATGGTAAGTGACGAAAGATTCGATGAGATCGCTGAAGAGAACACTGTACCGATTCATTAAACGTAGGTAGAGGAGGACAGTCGGCGCTTCGTTTTGCTCGATTGCGAATGGAGAAGCGGCACAACTACGTTCGAAAAGTTGCAGAAGTAGCCACCCAACTGTACATTACCAATGATAAGCCAAATATTGCTGGATTAATTTTAGCGGGTAGCGCCGACTTTAAGACGGAACTCAGTCAGTCGGATATGTTCGATCCTGTAAGTATATGATTAACGTCACGAGACCCTGCCGTTACGTAGATGCAACATTTCGCATTTTCGCCGTTTCAGAGACTACAAGCAAAAGTTATAAAACTAGTAGACGTTTCGTACGGTGGAGAGAACGGTTTTAATCAAGCTATCGAGTTAGCTGCTGAATCTCTACAAAATGTAAAGTTCATCCAGGAGAAGAAATTAATCGGTCGGTGTGAATTTAATGAGACGATTGATGCTATCGGGAATTGAGTAATGGAACGTATCTTTTTTGTTCAGGTCGTTATTTCGACGAAATCTCACAAGATACGGGCAAGTACTGCTTCGGCGTAGAAGATACTTTAAGAGCGTTAGAATTAGGCAGCGTGGAGACCCTCATTTGCTGGGAGAATTTAGATATCCAGCGATACGTTTTAAAGAACCATACAAACGCGGAAGAAAAGGTTTTACATCTAACGCCCGAACAAGAAAAAGACAAAACCCATTTTACTGACAAAGAAGTGAGTCGACGTGTTACGTCCAGATACATATGAAAATAGATCGAACGCCCAGATGAAAGACTCGAGACCAGGTGATCGAGAGTAGGAATGTGAATGGGACAATTTATTGTATTTTTTCTATGTCCAAAGCATATTTTCTCGATTTTTACGGGGTCGACAGAGATACATTGGACTATCGGTCTGTTCTCTCGTGTCTACGATTACATCACGATCGTTAGCATGCCACGAGCAATTAACACCCGGTTGTTTCGTATGTTCAGAGCGGAGTAGAATTGGAACTCGTCGAGTGTCAACCTTTGCTCGAATGGCTAGCGAACAATTACAAGAGTTTCGGCGCCACTTTGGAGATCATTACGGACAAATCCCAGGAAGGATCGCAGTTCGTGAGAGGTTTCGGCGGCATCGGTGGTAAGTTAGATCATTTTTTATCGTCCGTCCTTTTCGCTACTAACTTCTACTCGACTGAAAGTAATGTCACTTATGAACTAATAACTTTGTATACGTCCTCTCGAAGCGTATTTGTACTAACAGAAAAGCGGCTGATTCCACTTTAATCGGTTAATCGTTAAGAGCTAAGGGTATAAGTTTAACTGTCTGCGTGTACACGTAACTAAAGTTTCGATATTCTTAAAAACGTATGCTCGGCCATTGAACATCTCCTCGACGTAGCTCCTTCCTTTGACAAACGTGTATTGCCTAATTTTAATTGAAAAATCAAGTGGTACAGTGGTACTAAGAAGCATTATCATTAATTATGGAGTGTATCTTGATGCATAGGAATCCTCCGCTACAAAGTTGATTTCCAGTCACTGCAGGCTGATGAGCCTCTTGATGACGTTGACCTCGATGATTACTAATTTCATCTGTGAAATACTCAAAAATTGACCAGGTAGCTCTTTCTCTGTCTTGAGTGCATTCGTTTACATTTCGTGTATTATAAATAGAACATGTTAATTACAGAACTGGACAAATTTATCAAACTTTAGTTGATACGCTTAAAAAATTGAGACAATATAATTACACGATCGATCTTGAACCCTATCTAAATAGTTTGCAGTAGCAATCGTTGTACACTAAATTCTTTCGTCATCAGTATAAATCGTGTTAGTAGCCGTCAGATTTTATACCTGTTACTATACTACTATCGAGAATCTTCGTCGACGAATAAGTCTACATTTTTAATTAATGCGAGCGATAAATTTGTCCAAAAGAATATACGCAGTTTCTTCTGTTGGATTTCTCACTGAATAGTTAGTTCGATACTTCTGTGCAAATCTGTAGTATATATGTATATCTCTTCCGATGAGTTTGAATGTGGAAATAGATATTTTTTTAGTTATGAATTCCGAGGTATAATGTTTACTTTTTTTTACAAATAAAAAGCCTGAAAACTTTGCTGCCTCCTTTTTTTCTCGATGATACAAAAAGAAAATGAGTTCAGAAAATCTTGTATATATATGAATTATGGATAATTGTGTTTGAAGAGGGTGAGTCGAAGTCGAAGTACATTTGCGTAACATTCTGTCTTCAAATGTCGTTAGATACCGTTCACTTTAGCAATTGAACAATATACTGTTAGTGGTTCAAATAACACTGTAGGCGCAATATATACGATCAATTCAACGGAACATAAAGTAAAGGTCCCAATTCCTATCCATGCCACTGACGCAGGCGGCGTATTTTTCTGCAATTTTGTATGTTATTTAAAAATTATGGAAAAATAAACCGGTAGAAATTGGGACACCTTAGTTTCGCTTATCTTAGCAAAATACTTGTACTTTCTCATGATACACATTCTGCAGATGTAAAATCAGTTACAACACTATTGCCCCATACACGATACGATCTCAATGATTCTAGAGTACATCTTTCCGAAAGCATCAATAATTCGCTGTGTAAATAGTATTGTAAACTATTGTCGACACGCGTTAGTAGTAGATTTATAAATAACAGAAATGAATTCGTTCAAGACAATTAGTTAGCGATCCGCGTTACCGTCTACGTAATATGCGTATACCTCTGTATATATATGTGATTTTCAACGTAATATCAGAACTACTATTTCTTCTTTAGTACTCTATTCTGCAGTACTGATAGCACACTCTTGTTCCGTTTGCATGTTATGCTTTTTAGTATTCTAAGATGCCCCGTACGTATTTTAAATATCGTTATTAAATTTTCTTATTACAAAAGGAGAAACTAAATGTACATCGGTTAAATTTTTTTTTTAATTATGTATGTATACTTGTACACAAATGTGTCTCGTTACTGCTTATATAAAAGAATAGCCACTAATATTGCTTGCTGCACGTTTGTCTCGTTACCGAATTGAAATATGTAAAACCAAGTGTGTTTGGTGGTGAACGTAATTAAGTAGTAATTGGCTAGGCTTCATTAAATAGTTATTCTATCTGGTCAAGCATAAGTACTAATTGATGGTTTGTTTCTATTAGCTTGCATATTGGGAAAGGTACAGTAATTGCTTTTTACTAATTTAGTGAAAGAAACAAATCAGTGAAATCTTATCAAGCCTCTTGTTACCGCACTTTCTCTCTCTCTCTCTCTCTCTCTCTCTCTCAACATATCGTTTCACTTTAGAATGTTATACATTGTACAAAAGAATCCATTCTGTTTGCTAAAATAGAATCTCCCCTCATTAGCCTTGGATATTGTTCAAGTTCAAGTATCGTTAAGTTCACTTTACTTTTATTTTTTATTGAAAAGACTTCATTATCATAGTGTACTTTTCATTATCTATTAAGTCCTTTATTACTAGAGCAAGTACTTCGTTATTCGAATTCGTTCTAGAACTGCTTATTATCAATTCTTTTTAACACCCTGCTATTTGTTACTTTGTATGTTATATGTATCATGTATAACATTCGATTATTTCCGAATATTGTAATTTTTCAAATTGCATCGTACGATCACTAAAACGTAACAGTGTCTTTCGAAAGTACTACGTCGAATTACATCGATCAATCTTTTTTGTGTATATTATATCGAAATTTTATTTGAATCCAACGTTCTGTATTTCGGAGTTTTTCTAAAATATTAATTTACATAGGATCACGTCGATCAATTTTTGGCGTATATCGAAATTCTGTTCGAACGTTGAAAGACACTGTGAATCAAACATTCTGCATGATTGATAATAATAAGTGACTACAGGCGAACATTTTACGAATCTGCTGATAAAGCGTTCCTTTTCTCTCATCGCATCACTCGTATTGCATTGTTAAGATATAATTTCATTTACTCGTTCACATAAATTTTCATATACCAGCGATATGTCTAACGCACGTACGTCGACGTCCTAATAAAATAGTGCGACGCTCATGTGTATTTTACAGGTATATTGCGGTACAAAGTGGACTTTCAGAGTATGCAGCTGGAAGACGTTGAAGTTGATACATTCGATCTGGACGACTATTAAATCCGTGACGCGACAAAATAATTCTTTTTAGCTTCGATGGAGAACATAATTAATTATGTTTCCCCGTGGATCATACTTGAAGAGAATGAATGCGAAAGAAAGAGCGAGAGCAAAAGAGAGGAGGAGCACGCAGCGAAGTACACGTTTGTAAAAAAAAATTATCACATACACGATGCAAACCCAACATTCACACACGCGCGCGCGCGCATACACAGAAGGACGTCGTGAGATTCATTAGAATTCATTCGAGCAATTAACTCAAATCGATGTACACACGATAAGTACACACACATACACAGACATAGACAAAAAGTGGGAAGCACAACACATGGCGCGCCGATGATAATCCATGTCCGTGAAGAAGAGAAAAGGCAAACTCGAAGACTGTGACACTTAATTAAGCCAGCTTGATACCTGCCTATCTCACACGACATTACCCTATTATTACAGTTACATTCTTTAATTATTCACATGGATTTATTTAAATAGATACACGCGCGCAAAATAAAAAAAAAAGTAAAAAGTAAAACGTGTTGAACGATACATGTGTTCCGGGAATGTCTATAAATTTTGTATCAAATTGATGTTTGTCATCGTCTCGCAATGAATTCGATTGGCCGCATAGAAAATGAGAACCAAACAAAAAAATAGGAAGCTAAAAGAGATACTCGGAAGAGCGTGAGGAAGAATGTAGCGTTATTTTTGTTCAAGATACAATCATGGATAAGCTTGTAATAAACTGATTATCATAAACAGAAAAGTTGCGTATCGTACATTCTATACCGACTACTAAATTCATATGAATAATGAAAAGAGTTCTGTACATAGACTTAAATTTTTAAACGGCACTGTTGCCTTAGACATAAGTTATAAGAAGTGGCGTAAAAAAAAGTATATCCCAGGAAAAATAAAATCTCTCCGTCTCATCGAGTGATACACGCGTAATAATAAACGATATAAGAGATCATTTTTCGTATCTCCTATTAAAGAAGAAAAAAAAGAAGAAGAAGAAGGAAACAAAAACTTTGCTGGCTCTCGACTCTTATATTTTGTACACTTACACACGATTGTATATAAACAGATGCTCCGCAATTATATCGAGGTATTATTCTTTCGACTGTTACAACGGTGCACCCGATTAGTAAGAAGAAAAAAAAAGAAAAACAGAATGAAACTAATTAATACCTTCTGCAATATTTAAAACAGCAGTTGATTCTAAGAAATTATTGCAAAAAAAAAAGAATTATTTTAACATTGTTAATTTAAATTGCTTATTCATATGATGCCTTTGTAATAAACAATAAATATGTATGTATAAATGTGAGAAGAGTGAAACGTGCAATTTTGGTGAAGTATCTTTTATGAAAAAAAAAAAAGTAAAAATAAAATAAAACGTCGCTGTATAATAAATGGAAGGTTCGCGGTACGTTGCGAATCTTTTTGGTGGAAATAATGTGTATTGTTAATTAATAGTATAATTAGATTATTTATACTATTACACACCGTATTGTGATGCAGGGATAAAGCTTTATGAAAACTTCATCAAAATAGAACGTTCAGCAAGAGAGGAAAAAAAGGTGATCTGGCTTATGATATGTGCACAACGAATTCCAAAAAGCAAACCGAGGAAAAAAGAGTAGTTGAAAAGTATTGTATCTGTGTATTGTCTTCAAACAGCGAAATGTTGAATGTCAGTTTAATGTTTCTTCAAACTTTTATATGTAAACAATATTCTTTCAATAGGAATCTAGATAATTATTTATTATTATCTCGGTGCGATTATTTCTTTCGCTCAGCGGAAGATTGTATTAAGTACGCGGGTTCTAGTTACGTACGAACTTCGGGTGAACATTTGAAATATATTAGGAGGAGCCGTATAATCTCCGGCGATCTTTGTTTTTTTTTTACTCTTTTGTACGGTGAGAGAAAGAGTTTTTTTGAATGGAATAAGAGACGCGTGCAAAAGAAAAGAAAACGGACGTCGTTCACGAACACACACGATGTACTTAGATTATGGCTTGCCTATGATCTCTTCCATAAGCATAGTTGTATAATCTGCTAACAGATTCATCATTTCTTCATTTCTTTTGGCAATTTTATATTCCCCTGTATTGCACGGAGAATATGTCTTTGTTCCTTCGAACCGTTGTTATACTTTATATCTTTTCACAATCTAGCAAGGCAATACAAAGATGTAATCGTCACAAGTTTTTGCTTAATCAAAGTTATTCAAAATACGGATTTAATACCTCATATTTTATATGTAACGTACGCGTGAATTACACTCGTGCCGTGTCCTAAAGATTTTAAACTCTTTTCACTGAACAAGTAGAAATTGTAAGTTTCGAGATTACGCGAAACGTTGCTCGCATCATGACAGGGACAATCTGTCGAGGAAACGTTTCGTGAAGTGACAAAGAGGGATATTGAAATAATGAATCGGTGGTACATACTTTCCGTAGGTACCATTATTTTATTTATAAAGCCTATTAAAAATCGCTTCGACGACGCCCGCACTGTCAGTTATTATACCTGCGAGCATTCGTGTACACGGTAACGAACAATAATTGTACCATCACATCGTTGTTAATGATACGAAATTGATAGTGTAAGATTTTGTAAAATTAACAACAACGCTTTTGCAGGAACGAACGATACTCATTTCATCGTCAAAGACATTATTTCCGATCTCCCTTTTTTTCACGCGCACGCGAGTTAACGTATCGTTAATATCAAAATTGATTAAGGACATGATATGAAGAGGAGGTGAATAAGAAGTGAAAAAAATACACTCTATGTTTCTCATGCAAGCGAGTTGCTATTAGAACCCGAAAATGTCACGGTGATCTTTGTTTCCACAGGGCATTTCACAAGTTTTACTATACGTATAGGAGGTACACGGAACCGTAGTGCGAAAATCATTTTTAATGCGTTAGCTCTGCAACGATATTTCCGGGTTCCGATCATAACGTCTTTTTACATTTTTGTTAACGTTCTCCCTTTTTATATATACATGTGGAGTTTTACTTATACCGGGAAAAAGAGTGTCTTTAAATTATTATCGGGTAAGGTATACTCGCCTATGGAATGAGGTGCTGTTAAATAGGGAAACTATCTTTTTTTAGTCTATTGCTGAATTGCATTTATATCGGTGAAAAGAAATTGGAATAATAATAATAATATAATAAAAGGAGGAAGTATCCAGTGGGATATCACGCCCTTTACACCGTTCTTACACCTGGTTTTACCTAAAAATCTTAGTTAAATAACATTCATCATTTCGAGATAACAGTCCTGTAAAAATTTTTAATCACGTCCATGTATACATCGTCATCAAAGAATCGATATCGAGGACAATAAGAACATGTAAAATACATCATAAAAGTCGAGTAAATAAGTGACTCGGAAAATAGATGTCATTCTTTTATACACGTTTTATAAACTTTGATTCATTAAATACGACTACTTGTTATCTTTTTCTGGTACCAAGAGATTGAGATTGGCATTCTTGGTCACCGATCCTACGAACGTTTCCTCGTCGCCGCGTATAGACAACGTGGCGACGGGAATGTTCGTTTTTCTCTCGTCCATCATCGCGGCCCTTGTCCAGTTCGAACCACTGCATTTTATACAACTATGCGACGGTATTCTGTTCAAACTCACAGTTCTATTTCCACAATCGGCACACTTAAAGAATCTCTTGACCGCGTCGATAACGCGCAACTGATGCCGCTGCTCTTTACAAACATCAGAGGCGGAGAACGATGTGTATTTGCAAATTGTACACGTAACAGCTTTGCAAGGAACTTTATAAGTGGACAACATTTTCTGTTCCATCCTTTCTTTCATTTCAAGCTTGTTGAAGTACTTCTCCTCCTCCTCTTCGTAACGATTCTCGATCAATTCGGTATGAGCAGATTTAGCTTGCATCAAAGCTTTAAACTTATCCGACAGAACGTTCGGCTTCTTTGCTCCTTGATCATTCTTCTCTTCGTCGTCCTCTCTCGGTCGTTTCTTCGCCTTCTCCAGTTTCTCTTTACTTAAACGCACTTGATTAGGATCCTTCGATTTGATCTTTCCATTCTCCTTCACCCACTTGATCGCGTTATGTTTAGCTACGTTAATATGTTTCTTAGTTATAGGCTCCGACAAATCTATCGTGCCACTGAAACAACCGCCTCCTAATCGAGGACTGGAAGATGACGAAGAAAGCGTCAGATTTTGTCTCCTCTGCGACACGGGTGGTAGATTATCTTGCGATTCTTTAGACAACGCAGCTACTTTCCAACCTCTCGATTTATAGATTTGTTCGAGATTCTTCCTCATTTTCTGCTCCGGCGTTTCCGACTTATCACACATATCAGTGATATTCTTTGGACTCTCTTTACTACCCGATAGTAACGCTAGCAACTTCGCGTCCTTCTCCTCTAACTTTTTACTCCTCACCCCGAGAACGGCATGAAATTCAGGCATGTTCATGCTGCTCGCGAGCGGTTTCTTTTGTTGTGATTTCTTTTTCAACACGTCCATCGAGAACTTTTGACTGTTACTGAACGATTGTAACTCGGACCTGGCCGAGCACTTCTTATACTCTTGCTTAACGTGATACAAACAGAATTCACAACGATTGATGTTTACGATATTACTACACGCTTCCCCATTCTTTTTCTTAGACCTACACTTCCCCATGTCTTTAGATTTACCAAGGATCATCATCTTCTGAGGATTGTCGATCGACAGGGTAGCTAAATCGGTATTGTCTTTAGATTCCAGAACGTTTGGATTAAGCACGCCTATAACGGTACCAATAGTAGTTTTCCAAAGTGTTTTATACGCTTTGCTGAACATGAAAAGGCACACGGTGCTCATGTTCTCGGACAGGTCGCTTATCTTCCATATAGAATACAAGCTTCCTTTCTGGGAAGTCTTTGGCGGAGATTTACTTATCAATACCCCAGCAATCACCCAGTCCTTGTCAGTCTTGTCCATCGCCAGATGATACTTTACTTTTGATATCGTTACTGCTGTTTTATCAGACATTCGTGCCTTCAGCTCTGCCGAAGACACAACCGGGCTGACTATTCTCAGTCCAAAGAACGGATCGCTGTAAACATCTTTCGATGCAACAGGTGTAGTTGCACCTACTGTGTCCACACTTTTCGTTGCGCTGAAGTCAAACGTTCTGCTACTCGCTTCCCGGTGTGCTTTCTCCTCGTTCTTCTTCTCGATTTCTTTGTTCAACAAGAACTTGATATCCCGCCCATAATCAGAATACTTTCGTACCTCGAAACAACGTTTGTCCTCGTCGTCTGACGAGTCGACGGTCTCAGCGTGAACCTCGCTCTTCTCTTTCTTACCGCCGAGCTCGTTCTTCTTGGGAATACTGTCCAGGAAATTGAAATCCAACTCTTTCAGAGTTTCCTTAGGAGGTGGAACGTCCGTTGTATCCTCGTTTGCCAAAAGATCGTTCAAGATATCACCCACGTCCGAGTCACTGTCATTATCCATGTTAAACAATCTAGAATAAAATTGATTTATTGCGAAAGCCATGAGTGAGATAGAAATTGTACACGTCGCTTACGTACGAGATTTGAACCACCTTTATTATATTAGATTAATCAGTCAGTATTTAACAAAGGAACTGAGTTCACTTTCGAATGACGTCTGGCTGTCAACACCAGCACGCCATGCTCGCCATGCTCGCCATTCGGCCACTTTCCCCGCCGTTTCGGAACGCAACATGGCACTCGCACGTCGATACTATCGAACATTTAATTAACAATTTGTATATTTTTAAATAAATATTTATACAGTTTTTCATTCATCTGTATCGATTTATAAACGGTAAAAAATAGTCAAACAATGTTATAATAAAATTGAATAATTTTAGTTTCGGATGTATCGATCATGATCATCGATTTCCAGTCGAGAGTCGGCGGCCATCTTGTGTCTCGTCGCGAGTTCGTAACGTTCGTAATCCATCAAAGTTTGTGCGTGGAACTTGGAAATTATTCTTAAAATAATTAATGTTCGTCGAGTGATTAATCAAATTTGCAGTGTGCGCGATATTAACAAGCGTTTCATGGATAAGAGAGCAATCATTCGAATGGAAGGTAGGAAAAGGTAAAGTGTTTGCGCCAAATATGAATTGGCGGCACAGACTGAAATTCACTTGCGGGTAATTAATGATTTTCCTGGTACGAACATTGCCTCCGTCAATCTGAAACGAGGGAATCGATCGAAATAAAATATTTAACTCGGATGCTGCAATGGCTCGAATGCTGGAACGATCTCTGCAGTAAGTATTAGGTACGTATGTATGTATGTACGTACGTAGGTACGTAGGTATAAATTGGTCACATATTTTTGATCAATTTTTGAAGTGGAAGTGTGTGTGTGTGTGTGTGTGTGTGTGTGTGTGTGTGTGTGTGTGTGTGTGTGTGTGTGTGTGTGTGTGTGTGTGTGTGTGATATGATTTAAGTGGAAGTCCTGGAAATGCAAGGAAGTATGTCGTGACGTCATAAGAGTGTGTAAGTATAGAATAATATCATACGAATTTCATTAAATTGTTCGATCCATTCTTTCCCGTAAAAGCAGGTAACTCTTTTAAAACTACGCGAAGCAGCGCATGAATTATAAATGTTCGTGTATATTTTCGCGGACGTAGCAACGATTATCCAGCGAAATAAATAGCAGGCCGTTCCACGTTCGTTTCAAATTTGCGCTCTGCAGTAATCATAGCGTGCAGGTCATTTCGTATTCTTTACGTAAGCAGCCATCTGCGAGAGTAGTTGTATTTAATTGCCATTGCTCCGTGTTTGTGTCGTGGCAGGTTGAATAAAATATCTCTGCAGAGCCACACGGCACGCGGGGAGTCGCGTACACGGGGTAAAGATGAATCTAAATAGACGTGATACAATCTGACGGTGGAGGAACTGATACAACTTTACTGGGAAGTTTCTTGCCTCTAAAAAAAAGTTAGCTAGAAGAGTTTTACGATTTGAAACGAAACGGTGCACACTTGCACCGTTCGCTATGCCGCGGAATAGTCGATCGATTCGAGCAATAAGCCATCAATAAAACATTCTTTTCGCTACGCCTTACTACCGTCTATCGAGCTTACGACACGCAACCGTATTACTTTCTATATCCGCAGTTAGAACTTCCACGTACAATTCTCTGTCCTCGCTACTATCGTCGGAAAATCGTTTCGGTTTAATATAACATTTTCAAGAAACGTCTCCGTATTATCGGCTCAAAGCTACCACGTAGATTCACGAATCTATTATTCAAATTCATCACGATTCATTCTTTCATTGGGTAAGTTCTCAATTTCAAGACAAGAGGGAAGATTCACTTCAAAACGTTATAACTGTTAGTAACGTTGACGTTAGAAATCGAGGGGACAGAAATAAGGAACAACGTGTTTCGGGAAGTCGTCCATCTGCCTCCTGAGGGACAGGGGATAAAAGCTGCTGGCCGAGATCTGGTTCAATGTAATCCGCGACACAGGCAAGATCCTCCACCTGCTAATCTCGAGCAAAGCTGCACGTTCCGAACGGCTTCCGCCTGTTAGTCAGAGGGAAAGCGTATGGTCACGAACTTTTCGAGTAGAACGGCGCACCGGCTTCTCTCGTTTCGATACCACCTGCGCTCTATAGAGAATGCAGATGCTCGTACAAGAGGATGCCTGTAGTCCTTCGATTCGGGTTTACGCGTGCTCAATTTAATTGGTATAAAAAAACATCAGGCAGACAGGTACGTGGTGAAACGACGGCAGACGAAATGCATTAGAAGACGTCGCGTGTTTTATTAATGGAAAGATCGATTTGGAATCGGTATTTACTAGTATCCATAGTAACGTAGTCGTCAACACTCGTAGAAAAACATGACTCGCGGTTTGAAACACAAGGCAATCCGTTCGCAGGTCCAAGCGTACAGTTTTTCATTATTTCTCGTCCCCCTTCGTATTCGATGTTGTTTTGATAGAAGTTGATTTGTTTATTTCAGAGGAATGAATCGGTGGAAGAACGAGCGGCGCGGAGCGGACGGGGAGTCCCCTCCAGCCGGGTGCCTTGCCCCTTGACCCCCTCGCCGATCCTCGTGCGTGACCCCCACCCCCGTTTGCCACCCACTCACCCACCCCGACCCAGGCGCCCGCGGGCCACCCCACCGCGCCCCACCCCTGCGCCGACCCCGCACGCGCAACGGTGTCGAGCGTCGCGCTCGTTTGTTCGCAGTCAGTCAGTCTATCGGCAACCTGCGCACCAGTCGTGTCGGAGCGCTTAGGTAACAGTATATTATTATTATTATTATTATTACTTGGCTCGCCGGTGTGTTGTTCATTTGTTAAAACGGAAACAAAGGCGGTTCACTATTCGTTTTCGGAGTTACTCGTCGTTCTCGTCTCATTTTACGGAATACCATCGTCGAACGTGATCACTCACGTATTTGCGTACACAAACGCCTGAAGGGCACCTGGTATACAAGGTACACACGCGCGAACGTAAGTAGCAGTAAGTACACGCGTCGCCGCGGTACATCGCGGGATACGCGCTTTCAACGTTGAACCCGCGAGTCGTCGCCGTAAACCTGTCTGCGCACGTCGTCGCGCGGACACATCCGCGAGTCGGTCAACGTCGCCGTGGCTCTCTCCTCGCGTACGCGAGCGTGATCGATCGATATCGACCGCGCTCAAGAAATTTACACGAACAAGAAGAAGAGGAAGAAGAAGAAGGAGACGATATTACGGTGTGGGTACTCAGTGCATCGGCTGCAACCTGTCGGTAGATGAACAAGTGTGGAGGCACCGCCGTGGAGCACGTTCCCTGGGTCCGGCCCTCCTCCACGGTGTATCGATTGCTCTAAAATAGACGCGTGGGAACACCTGCAGGCTCTACGTACACGTTCTACCCGACAACAGTCGACTGTCTCGTTCTCTCTCTCTCTCTCTCTCTCCGTGCCGAGGTCTGTCCTGACGCCCTTGCGTCAGGCGCGTGACAGGTGCAGCCTGCAGAGGCAATACGGTAGCAGCAGTAGCAGCAGCAGCACCACCACCAGCACCAGCGAAGCACCGCGTTGTCTAAGGGCTGGAGGAGGAGGTGGAGGAGGCGGTGGTGGCGGTGGAGAAACGTAACAGGAAGCGGAAGAAGCGAAACGAGGGATAGAGAGAGAGAGAGAGAGAGGGTGGAACAGAAGAGGAGAACATAATACGACACCGGGGCACCAGCATACGTGTGTGCGGTACGTGCGCGTGCTCGCACTCGCCCTGAAACGTACGGAAAGGTGGAAGGAGGAGGCGATTCGCCTGTGTTTCTCGAGAGGAAAGGGTTATTTCCAGTGATACGTCCTGGAGGCGCCTGTCGTCTTCGCCGGTACAACCATAACGCCGCCCGCTTTAAAACGCCCGAGACGGGACACGGTGGACTCATCGCCGCCACCCGCTCGAACAGCAGTCCCCGGAAACCCCGGACCATCCAGCAAACTCGCTTGCATCATGGACGCGCCGCTCTCCCAGAGTATGGACTCCGTCAACACGGTGGCCACCGGTGAAGACGAGGTACGTGCGCTAACTACCACACATTCTATCGTTAACGACGCGCCTGTGCATCACGCATCGTCCCGTCCTTCTTCCTCTCTCCCTCTCTCTCCGTCTCGCACGATCGTACGCGTACACGCCGATCGCTTCCTCGTTTTCACCTTTTCTCTCGCGTCCGCCGCCGCGCATATATTCGTATACGCGTCCCCGACATCCTTCCTTCCTTCCTATCAACTTATCTCCCTCCGTCCTACTTTCACGCTCGCCATATTGCATGCACCTCGTCGTCGTACTCTCTCTTCTGTTTTCTGTTACTTCCTCTCCGTTTTCCTCTCTCTTTCTGGCACTCGTTCGTCTCTTCCTCTTTGCAACGGGTTGCACGTCATGAAACGCGCAAGCGTACTTTATCCACGAACTTTACGTCCTGTGTTTCTGCGGTGTGTACGCGTACACTCATGTATACAGGGTGTACATCCGCGATTCTCGCTTTTCTCGTATCACCAGATGCATCTGTTTATCGTACCATGGTTTGCACGTACTACCGCGTGACGAAATTGTCCAGATACGCAGTTGTTTCCACCGTAACCCTCGCGCGTCCTCAATTTGCCAAATTGCCAGTAAAGGAAGTGAAGAGTTGAGCATGACCTTTATGAACCTACAATTTTATGCTGTTGAAAAATCGTGCACTCCGGTCTACGCGTTGTTTAGACAAACAGAGCGAGGGTGAAACTAAAAAGATCATCCGCGTATCGGCTGAACGAGAGACGAGTTCTAATTCGCGGTTCACACGATTACATGATACGTCCAAGGATTTAAAGTATGAAGCTGAGACCTCGAGCGACTTTCTTGGGAGAATAAATCTATCCCTTAAAGAATCGTAGATTCGTTGAATAAATAAGTTGCCAAGGTGTATTGCCGCTCGGTGACTCCCACACTGTACGTACACGTGCGAGCGTGTGTAACAGCGGCTCGGTATTAGATCGTACGTGTACGTACACGTAAAGTACGCCGAGAGAGAAGGCGGGAATTCGATCGTTCGCCGGAGAACGTACAGTGTGTGCCGCAGGTGACTCGTTTCTATCATCCGGTCGATCGGTCGGCTGGCTGGTTAGCAGGCCGGCTTCCTTCCTCGAGCACCTGAGGAGTGACGCGCCATGCCAGACCAGACCACGCTTGTTATTGATTTTTCCGCGACGCGAACCCGCGGAGGGCTAACTCTCTCTCTAACTCCACTGTGTCACATCGCGTCCTCGCCGCACGCATTATCAGACCTAAACGCGCAACAAACCCTGATCACTTATTTATAAGTTAATCGTTTTGTCTCGTGGGAATCTCGCGAAAGTCCAGGTCTCTCTCGTCCCAGGGAGAACCATCGCATTTTACTTATCGTCACATTGGAGAGACTGTTTAAACGTTTCTTACGATTGTTTAAACAACCGAGAAAATAGAAGTTGGATTAATCGAAAGAGACAGGTCGACTTCGTTGTCGGTAAGCATGGAAGAGTCTTTAGACTCCACTTGGAGAAGTGTTTCACTTTGTGGGACAGACTGTAGGGTGGTATAATCCGGTGGTTGCGCTACAGCCGCTTAGGCGAACGGTTAAATCTCCCTAATGCGATCCGAGATCGTGTTCCCTAGCGATACACGGGTTCGATCGTTCAACCCGGCGGTTATTAGCTGCTGGCACCTGTCTCGCGAATTCTCGATTAACTTTCACGTTCACGAGGCCCGAGTTGCCCTCGCGATCCTCTCCTCTGTCTATTATGCGACGCTTTACCCGAGTCAAGTTCTTTGATCAACCGGCCCGTGCTTCGGATACCGCGTATCGACGACGATCAACGCGTTTTCACGAGGTGTTTGCGAAGAATTAATCACCACCTCTGGTTCCTTCGGCGTTTCGTAAGGAATGGGAAAAGTAATAAACCGAGCATCGCAGAATCTAAATAGAACGTAGAACTCGATGATAAAATCAGTGGAGCGCGTCTGTCTTTCGCGTTGGACGTTTCTTTCCGAAGTAGATAATTCATTTTCCAGTGGACTCGGTCACGTTCCGTTCGATCGTGCGGATCGCGGAGAAAATCATGATTTTCTCGCTCGACCGGCTTCGAACGGTTTGTCATCTGGATCAGGAAGAGTGATCCATCGAACGGGAACGAGAGCAGGAAACTTGATTCGCGTTTTGTACTCGGTTTCCCTTCACGATTCCTTTCCGACCGCGTACTTCCGCATTGCACGACGTTTAGAGGATAATCGATGAAAATACGTCCCGATTGTCAATAACAATCGGTATAAAATACGCAGTTTAATCAGTATATCACAATATTCAGTATACCGTTTTGGGAGCACGTGATAGAACACGGATAGCTTAAGTACGATTGTCTTTTATTCATACTTTTGCACGCGCATCGAACGAATGGAAAACGAAAAAATGGTTCAAGGGAGAGTATATATGTTCTTAGGGGAGAACCTTTTTCAGTTCGCATCCTGTTTTGAATACTTCAACTAAAAACACCATAATCGTCCGAAAATCATTGACTCGGTGCTCACCCTTTTCCGCTTGCTCTTTGACATTCATGAAATCCGAGTTGTTCAATTAAAAAATTCGTGCACTCGGTATATTCACCGAGCGAATAAGCAATAAAAATTATACTCTCTCATGCGGTAGGGTCGGTAATTAAAATTTAGTCTTGAGATGAAAAGCGTGTACAGGTTTTTTCGGCCGGAGTTTTCACGATTTTTCCCCTCTGCTCGCTGGTCCCACTCTCCTCTTCTCTGTTTCACTGCCGTTGACGTTTGGTGGAGAGATGAAATTTAATTCCCGCTACGCGGTGGATAAAAACGTATTTGTTGCGCGATGAGTCGACGCGCGGATCTAACGAGGAAACGCTTTTCCATTTCCCACGACTGTTCCGCTGCGGAATCCAAATGGCCCCTGCCTCGTTCCCTCAGCTTACTCTCTTGTCTCAGCCACTGTGAAACAGCGGGTTTAGCGATCTTAAAGAGATAGGATCGATTCCGTTCCCTTTCCTCAAGTCGAAGCATTGGATACGAAATGAAAATGCATGATTTGGCTTCGCGGTTGATTCCGTATTAACGTTAAATTAAAAGAAGAAAGTAGTTCGTTAGTGCGAAAAGTAGGATAAATGTTAAGGCTTACTTTGTTCCGCATAAGACTTAAGTTTCCGAGCTCTGTGATTTATTGTTCGCTCGTGGTTATGATGGTTTTATGCGTGTTACTATACGTAGAGTGGTTACAGCGTCGGTGCAGTAAACCGAGGCTCGTTCGATTGTAACAGGATGAAGGTGTTTCGCAGCTGGTTTGTTTATGAACCACTTTGATGCTGCTTTACTCGGAGAGTATCGCATCTCGTGTTATTCCTGAAGCAAAACTACTCCGACATTGAATCCAAAATATGTTTCTCACAATCTTCAAATCTGTAAACTCGGTCGGAAAATCGCAATGGTCATTCGCGTCGTAAAAAGATCTGACGCATTGACGAAAGACGCTTGATAATATAGGTATAGACAAAATAGAATTGTAATTTTCAAAGGTCGGTTTAGTCTTCGTAAACGCGGTCGTACCGGTGAGCATCGTTCAGGATCATAATTGGAAGCGGGGAGGGCGATATCAATCGGACGATTTAAAACGTTTAACGAACCCGCGGTGGACCCCGGCCTCGGTCGATTTGGAAAATAAGACGCGACGGAACTTTCGATTCGCGGTCAATTAGTCCCGCAACGAGCTCCTCGGAATTTTTAATGTTCTCCACGAGCAACCCAGTTGATTTTCCACGATGAAACGAATCAAGGGAATCCAGAGTTCGAGGGCCGTCCGGGAATTATTCGAACACTTCTGTTCTAAGAGGTCTTCATTGAATATTTGAAACGATAATAGAATTCGAACTAGCCGCATACGAAAATAGCTGGAGTTTTAATATCGAGATCTTTCGATGAACCGTTCATGTCTAGTTTCGTGTTACATGTTTCAAATGGTTCTTATTAAAACACGATACGCGTTTGGAAAGGAAACTACGGCCGATCCGTTTTGAGGTAGGATTTCGTTCGTGTAGCATTTTTATGCCCGGATTATTGCGTAACGCAAAAATCGCGAACCGTGGTCAATTGTATAACAATCGGAAACGCTCTCGAGGTTTTCCACGGCCCGATTCCCCTTTTTATGAACGCACGTCCGGGGAGATTTGTTCTCCTTCGGAAAAGAATTCATTTTCTAGTTCGTCGAGGGCGAAATAAAATGGAAATTCATATTGCAACGGTTCTTGCCTTTTTAAACGAGGCTTTATCAAGATCGTACTATTTTATTGGTACGGCAGTGCGGTATTTTTTTATGAACCTCTTCGTGTAATGGAAACGGTGGAAGATTTAATCGGAGAACCGGCGTACGCGTTTGCAATTATAAAAAATGATACAAGATTTTTCATTTAATATCGTTACCCCGAGTCGTGACCTCTCACTTTAGTTACTTTAAATTTTATTGGACGTACGCAAGCTTCTCGTTAACCCAAATTGGCAAATCAAATATTGGAACGTTTTTATTTCGTTCGATGTACTTCTGTCTCATTTATCTCGAAATCTAAAGTACATTACGCAATCTAATTTTTTCTGTACACGCCGTAAAGTTTTATACAAGTATTTAATGAGACGATATTATACGGGTGTTCAATTTCTTACGGAATCACTGACCGGACTAAATTTCGTTTCAATTTAGCTACCATTGTTGTGTACACGTTTTAGTAGAATGATATTCAGTAACAAAAGCTATCGCACGCGCGAGCCAGCTTTCAGATGTTGCGTACACTCCAGGTCTAGCGTGAAAACAAAACGCGTACTTATGAGTCATTTCGACTTGGCCCCTCGCACTCGAAAAGTACGTCCGTTCATATTTCTGTCGACTATAAAAGTTCCCAACCCTTGAATCAAATTCGGACTGGGGTCTCATGAAGATTATAACGTTTGGTTCGCATGAAATGAACCACGAAATTGTGATTTCGTAGTAGAATCGA